CCGTTGCACCGCCACCGCCGCCAAGCAGGGACCCAGCGACTCCACCACCTATAATGGTGGAATACGCTCCACAAGCCTTTGCCGCCATCCCGTACTATGCGGTGATGACATCACGGCGATACAAACTGCGAACCGCCAAAGAAAGGCGGTTTAAGCTCCTCTTTTCAAGAGAGGGGCGACTCCTCGCCAGCCGTCCGCTGCCACCGCAAGCTTCCGGTCTCCCCCAAGCGGGGGGGGTGATGTAACGGTGCAGCCCACAAGCTGCATCGTTACGGCTACGGACCGTCCATCGTCCGTAGCCCACCAAGGGCGCATCGAGCGCTGATAAAACTTCATAAAAAACAACGGCGGTCAAGCGCCGAACGGACCCCCACATCCGACCGTTCCGAAATTCCGTTAGTGGGGGCCCGCCGCCGAAACCGCCGATGCTTGCCGATCCGAAGTCAGTCGGCCGCCAGCCGGGTATAAAAGAGGCCCGGCTGTATGTCTTTTCACCAGATCTGTTCGCTGCTAGACAGCGAACATCTCTCTACGAGCGTTCTCGTAGTCCGCCGAGCGTACTCGGCTTCTATGCCTTTTCCTAGCAACACGAGTGTTCTCGTGTACCGCTGAGCGTCCTCGGTATTCTTGCCTCAGCATACGAGTGTTCTCGTATACCCACCGAGCGTACTCGGCTCCTCTTGGCACCGATCTTCGTGCATCGAGCATTCCCGTGTACCTAGCCGGATCGCCGTTCTAATTCCGCCTTCGTACGAGCGTTCTCGTACTCCCGCCGAGCGTACTCGGCTCCTCCAGGCACCGATCTTCGTGCAATGGGCATTCCCGTGTACCTATCCGGATTGCCGCTCTGAGTCCGCCTTCGTACGAGTGTTCTCGTACTCCCGCCGAGTGTACTCGGCTTCCTGATCCAAATATCGCGTTTCCTCGCCGGGACTTCAAATTATAATCCTTCTGGCAGGCAAAACCGCATCGACCAATCCGCGCCGCCGAGCAGTCCGTATCGATCTATCATCGAACGGACTCGTGACACTCAACGAACGCATCCACCGACAGGCGCTCCGTCGTGCCAACTGTTACGACTCGATTACACGCGCTTGCGCCAATCGTTCCGCCGATCGCACTAAGACGCCTCACGTCAAAACCGATCATACTTCGCCGTTACTTTTATACGCATTTCGCCGTACCTTTATACTCATCTCGCATTTCAATCATACATCGCATTTATACAAATTACACCAAGTACATTTATCGCAATCAGACATCGCATTTATACAAACTACACCAAGTACATTTATCGCAATCATACATCGCATGTACACACAGTCATTATACTCATTATTTTAATAAAACACATTTCTTATTTATTATTACCAATCACATGCATTCTCTTTTGACGTGTACCCCCAACCGAACGAACCCGGATTCCGGCGAGCTATACCGCGTCCGAGAAAGCTCACACGGTTTCATGGCGCTCGAACAGAGACCTGATAAAGGGGTGCGTCAACGAGATCCACTTACGATGACTGCGTGGATACAGCGGTTACCGCGCTCTGAGGTAGCTCGACTTTTACAGAGCCGCGATATCGACTGCGACGGCAACTTAGACGATCTCCGCCGATGTTTACGCAAATACATTCGCGCGAATCCAGGGGACATCATCCCTCCGACCGATGAGCGGAAACCGAGGCCCGCGCAACATTAAACGTTTCACTGTTACGAGTTCCGGGTAGCTCGGGCCGCGCAAGTCCGATCGACGACGACGACCGGGCTAGTTACTATTCGGCACCCGACCCATAAAAACGGGAACGAAATAT